GGGCCCGCGAAGCCCAAAAAGTTCATAAAGGCCACCCTGGTGAGCAGCAGGGCTGGCAGCGCAGCCCCCTCAGGGTATGAAAGCTCTGCGTGCAGACCGCACCGAGCCCCGTTCCAGCGCAATGGTCTTCACTAAAATGCTACCATTTAAAAAAACCGCTGCGTTAACCCAGCGCTCCTGGGCATCTTCCAGAGGTCACCGGCAGGACAGCAGGAGCCAGCAGGGCGCTGTGCGTGTCCAAGCTCCGCATCTGCTCTCGCCAAGGGCAGCCCAGCTTGGACACGTGTCTTGGACCTCTGCGCTGGCAGAAGCTGATGTGCAGAGCGCGGAGCAGCCGCACCACAAACAAGGGGAGGGCGCCAGGGCTGCCTTCGCCCACCCCAGCTGCCATCCAGCCCTGCGCTGCGGGGGACTGCTCCGGCGCCGGCGCTGTGTCTGTTCTGCAGCCACCCCAGAGAAACCAGAGGTGATGATGGGTTCCCACTCATCTCATTGATCATCGAGTCTGAAGACGAGAAGCTTTTTTGCTAGCTTTGGTCTTTCCTGTCGCCTTGTGACCATGGGGACGCGGGATAAAAGACCCTCAATTCCTGGACTGTCTGAGTAAAAAACCTCCTCTGCTGACAACCCTAATGCTAACCGTGATCCGTAAATTCACAGCGGCCTCTTCCCGAAAGAGGGTATTATTCCCTTCATTATTTTTTCTGCTCCGGCATGGAAAAGACATGGATGGAGAAGCAGGATTGGGGACAGCCGTATAGAATGATCAGAAAAGAAGGAAGAAGGTGTGATGGCAAAGAGCCACGGGAGCAAGGCAGTAGCCATATATTTTAGGGGAACAGCGAAGCCTCCTGGGGGACCACGGCTGTGCAGAACCATCCTGTTTGCTCGGCTCCCTCCACGCATTTGAGGCCCTCCATTAGGGCACCCGAGGTGGCTGAAGGTCAGTCCAGGTACCCAAGACTTCGTGCTTGATGGAGACTTTTTTTTTGAGGAAGTCCGTAAGGCTTCGAGTCCTTTCACTTTCCCTGTGGTCCGTGCTTCCTCTCTGAGGACGTCTCTGAGATGGACCAATGCTCCTGCCGGGCCAGTGACATCGTCCCGCACAGGAAGACCCATGGCTGGAGGTCTCAAAACTCCCATGTGAAAAGCAAATTGGAGCTCACCGAAGCCCAAGAAGTGGGTATTCTCCCCTCTCCAGTTACAGCCTGAGGAATCTGAGCGCAACATTTATTCCTCCATGCGTTAAAAGAAAAAAAAAAAATCCTTGAAAATGTGTCAAAGGTAAGGAGGAGAAGCAAAGAGAAGAGGTTTGGTCCCACCAGGAAGGTGTGCGTGTCTGAGGTTTGACTCTGGCACCTGGAAGCGTGAAGTTCCTAAGGAATCTGACTCAAACGCTCCAGCTGCTAGGTCACAGAGACCTTAGCGAGGCTGAGGTTTTGTCCTTGTCGGGGAAATGACATTTCAGGCACCCACCTCTCCCCTAGGAAACCTCAGGAGCAGGGGAACAAGGGTGAAGAGACAAGGACAGGCAGCAGTTGTCACAGGTACAAGGAGCAGCAAGGTGGTGCCAAAGGATGATAAATGCAGACTACGGGGGGAAAAAAAATCAGGAGCAGATAATGGTCAGCATAAAGGCTTTTAAAAAGGGAAAGTGTTCCTGAAGGCAGTTCCAAAAGAAAATCGATAGGAATTCAGACCTATTAATGTGCGATTATGTTCTCATCTGGAGCCTGCAGTCTGCAGAGACAGCGAGCGAGGTTTGCCCAGGCGCCGTGTCCTACGCTTGTAGTGACTTCAGAAATGTTCCTCTCTTCCCTATGACCTCATCCGCATCCCGGGGATGCACTGCAGCACGGTGCTGGTGCTCCGGGCCCCGACGCTACCGGGAACCTCGCGTCACGCAGGGCTCTCTGCAAGGAGCTTCCTGCGGGATTGGGGCTTCGTGCCGCACTGTGCCTTACCGATAACGCACGCTCTGGCGATCTCGATCCTCTGGCAGCACGGAGGAACCGTACGGGGTAACCAGGCTTCTTACTGTTCAGGCTTCGCATTTACAACACGTTGAGGTGAAATAAATGATCGACATGCAAACTTTGAAAGAAACAAAACGTGATGCTTTTTATCACGGAATGTAGTTTTTATTAAAATTGCAATATCCGGCCCTCTTCTCTCCCCCCCCCCCGCAGGTTTAGGGTAGGCACCCAGTAACGCATACAAGGACTGGTTTTTAAAACGCCGGTCCTTGTGCACGACAACATTTGGTGACGTTTGCTTCAAGCTGAGTTCTGCAAAGGACCTGTCTCTATTTCTGCAGATGTAGGACCGAAGTGCAGCCTTACAGACAACCCTCGTCCTTTTGCTTAAACCCCAGCATTTCTCATTAGCCTCGTGACTTGGGTTAGGTTTGGGGTTTTTTTTTTTTATTTTTAATTTGCAGTGCTGGAAGTGCAGCCCAGCAGGGGGAGATCGCTCCACCTGAAACGGGGTAAAACGCACACACGGGCACACGCAGAGGGGCAGACACAAGCAGACAGACAGGCAGACACAGGCACACACACCTGGAGCAGCAGCGAGCTGTCACCACTCCAGGTCACCCTCACAAACCCCCTCCGAGGGCTGGGATGCGGACGGGCACGGTCCCCCAGCTCCCACCCGCGGCCCTGCGGGGCGATGCTCCCCGCCCGCAGCCCCGCAAGCAGCGAGGGGCTCT